AGTGAAGGATTTCAGAGTAAGATTTTGGCATTTTTAAATGCCAGTATTTATAACTCAAATTAATGTAAGGCAAATCAGTAGTAATAAGGACTCTTTAATTTTTGCTGCAGGCTAATTACAATAAAAGTATGTACAGATAATCTTTAGCTGTTTTGTGAATGCACTGACTTCCTTGTTGAAGAAGAATTGTGTGGGGTCATAACACTAGAAGTTAATGTCATGATATATGCACAGTTAGTCCCAATATTGGACAAGCTATTGACAGAGTTCCAACTCTGATAAAAAACACACCTTCAGGTCAGTTGTTGACTCACCAGTGAAAATGGGTAAACCTCATTTAGTTGGGCCATGGAAGCAGGAACAAACTGGGCAGGTGATCAGGCAGCGTTCAAAGCCACTTCTGTCTCAGTACTGTGACCCAGCAGGAGTTGTAGCAAGTAGCTTCATTCCTGGTGGGGAGATGTTTTGAATTGTAGTTTGGCTCCAGCTTGGCTGATCTGTTATCCAGGAACCTCTACCTACTGTGGGAAGAAGATGCTATCAGTCTAGTGATCTGGCAGCATTTTAACTACTTTTGGAAGTCCCAGTTTTCAAGCCAACATATATTTAAGGAACTCTAATTTTGGAAGGAAATTCCTGTGAGTAATGCCTGATGACACATCTTCTTTCATCTCTGCATTTCCTGAGTTCTGAGAAACATTTTGTGTGTGATGATTTTGATATCTGGGCTGTCTCAGCCTTGTGCCATATTTAATGCTGCTTTTGAAATGGACAATGTGAGGTTAAAAGAACAGTGTCTTTTGAAAATGCTTTGGATATCACTTAGGTGATGACTGAGTTTTGGCAGTGGCTGACCAATTAAGAAATCTGCTGCAGTGCCTTATTTAAGGGCAATATAATGAAGTGAGGAATTAGGATTTAATGCAAAGGAAATGTGCAATGTGGGTGGGTCATGCAGATGGTTTTTGGTAGGGTGATGGAAAAGGTTTCTACAGTCACAAATACTAAAATTGCAGTGGTGATACTAGTCTATTAGCAGGCAGGAGACATGTTAAATCTGATCTAAATCAGTGCTCATTTTTTTTCCACAGATGAAAATGGCTACTTAAGAAAGGTTAGAGGATTTATGGGGGTGTCAACGTATGGCAGATGGGCTGGATTAGGACTCATGAGTATAGTAATCCAAATCCTTTCTGCCAAGCATTACAGAGGATCTCTTCTGCTCCTGGACTGCACTGAATGTACACAATTAGATCAGAGTAGCACAGGCTGTCAGGAGGCTCAGAAGAAGAGTTACTAGTGAAAGTGCTTCTCTCAGCAGAGTTCATTTTGAAAGCACTTCCTTTGCAGGCAAAAGTCTACTGGGGAACTGGCTATATTATTTAATTTTAATAAATTACTGGGATGATTTTCTTCCAAAGCCTTAAAGAAAGTAAAGCCAAAATGTGTGCTAAACTTTTCTCATTATCTGTGACTATATTAGCACAGAAGGATAAAAGCTATGCAAAAGTCATGAATGTTGAGAGAGGAAAAAAAGGGGAATGAGTTTGTCTTTCCCTTCTAGGCCAATGCTGTCTGTGAGATTTTAAAACTAAAAATTAAAAAAGAGAAAGTAAAAGGGCATCCGACTGGAAATTATTGTGACAGACGTTTAAGTGTTAGGGACAGATTCTTCTTTCCTCCAGACTGAGCCTCCTCTGAAATCTGAAAATTCACACTGGCGTGTCAGTATTATACAGGTTATTGCTAACTATACTTAACATGTAGTTAATTTTAAAAGATTGTAAAGCTACTGGCTATTGAAAAGATCCGTGTGTGAAATTCGGGGAAGAATGCAAACCATTTGTGTCTGAGGCAGCAACAGGAAATTTGCACTTCACTCCTGTGGTCAGTTAACTGAGTTTAAGAATCTACCAGAGCTCAGTCTCCAGTTGACTAATGCCATACAGCATGATAAATTGATACGCTGGAGTGGGAAACATACTCAGATATCTCTGAGGTCCATTGAGTGAATGCTTAGGTATTCCATTTGAAAATAATGTAAAATGCTTTAAAAATAGTAAAAGAAGTCTGTGTGTCATGCTGTAGCAAGACTTGTATATGGATAATCTGTGTTCTTTGTAAAACCTACAGGTGCTACAGACCTTAAATGTAAAGCTTAATTCAGAGGCTGCAAATAGTTACTCCAGCAGTGAGGAATGATTAGCTCTGAGCTACAGATTGTTAGTATTTTTGGGATAAAGCAAGAGGCAGTTTTTAGTATTTGGTTAACATATGAGGAAAACCTGAAAATTTTTAGGTTTCACTCTTACACAGGAGGAATAGCATATCTGCTCTCACACGGTTTTTTCAGAGAGCTTTGTAATGGGAACTTTCTTGGCATTTAATTGGAAAGTGCAATGGTTAGGATTTCAGAAAGTGAGATTTTCTTCCAGTTGTTAAGTAAGTATTAACAAAATAACAAAGCAGCCTAATCGGTCCATGAAAGCTCACTTTTCATCTGTTAATCAAGTTTCACTTCCTTAGTATTTGGGATATTTTAATCTTTCAAGTGGTATATAGCCTTCTAGAAAAGACTATTTCTAACTCAAACAAAAAAGACCATCTTTTACTTCCCAGCTTCTTTCTGTCTTAGCAGCCTCCTCATAAGAGATTCATAAGAAGGATGTATGAAAGAGCAAATAGGTCACATTTAACATTTGAGAATTGTTTATATGTATGTTTCAAGGAAATGAGTTTAAAAATTACTGAGCCAGAAGGTTGGGCAGAAAAAATTTCATGTAGAAAAATATGATGAGAATGAAAGGAAAAGTTGAACTGGAGATACGAAGTTTTACTATGAGGACATCCATGCAAATCCGTGAAATCTGAATAATCTTTTTATTCCAAATACAAACTTAGTAGGGAGTTGCAGTGATAACCAGTTTACACTGCTTTATAACATTAAAAGCATTTAAATAGTTTTGGCAGGCATGGATGAAACTGTATGTGAAGAGAGTTGTGAAGTATTATCCAGCTTACAAATTAAAGTAAGTTGTTCTAATAGACTTTCAGGGGAGTCAGTTATCATGATGTGTAAGATGAAGGTTTTGATTGATATATTACCAAAACGTTGTGCATTATCCAGGATGTAAAAAAGCTAGTAAATCAAACTGGTATTAATATAGCAAATTAAATCTGGACCCAGGCTTTACTTCATGTGTAAAAAGTGCCAGTGATTTTTAGATGTTTGCAATCCAAGTGCATATATGTTTCCATTATAAATTTGTTTGTTCCCTACTAATGCCTCCATTAAATTCCATAATGTAGCATAACTGAATGAATTAATCTAACTGACATTTAATGTTTTAAACTTCATAACGAGGAACTCTATAGAAATGCGAAAAAGTATAAATTTCTTCCTGATACATTATAAGATAAACTGTAAGTTATCATTACTAGACTGTGTCTCCTTAGTAGAACATCAGTAAACTGTAGAAAACTATTAGTAATTGACATAAAATGGAGCAACACAATCATCTGTAATTCAGGATATTAAGGGTTTAATCCACCCACAAAGGAGAAAAATGAGTTGTTTTGTAGAAATAAGATAAAACATTCTACTGTGAGGTTCTGCTTATGAATAACTAAGTAAACATTGAATAATCATCCCAGGAATGTGTAGTGTGAGATGGAAAAAAAAAACAACTAATAAAATGAAAAATGATTGACAAATAATTATTTCTAATAATGGGGGAAAGATTAGCAAAGCACTTATTCTGTACCTGGAACTATTTGGCAAATAGTTTTTTTTTCTTTCCTTACAAAAGGCATCTGAGAAATTGAAATATAAAAATATAAAATATAAATATATTTTAGTTTCTACATATAGAGAGAGTAATGTAAACCAGCTTTCATTAAGCATGCCCATGTAATTGAGAGCAGAATTTACTCAAGAAGCAGCCCTTGCTAGAAAATGTTCAGTTATTCCATAAATAAGTGCAGATTCTTCAAGTTGCTAGCATGATGATATTAGTAGGTGGAATCAGCTGCCTGCTTCCCCTAATATTCTTTTAGATGCATATGAAGATGTAAAAGGTTTTGGAGCTCTGATTATGATGTGCTTGAAGAAAAATCTCCAATGTATTGTTCGCTCTGAGATCACAGAATCGTGGAATCGTTAGGGTTGGAAGGGACCTCTGGAGATTATCCAGCTCAAATCCCCCTGCCAAGGTAGGGTCACCCTAGAGCAGGCTGGCCAGGAGCAAATCCAGGTGGGTTTTCAATGTCTCCAGAGAATGAGAATCTACAACATCCTTGGGCAGCCTGTTCCAGTGCTCTGCCACTCTCGATGTAGAGAAACCCTTCCTCACAGTGAGGTGAAACTTTATTGTGTTTTTGGAAAATGGATTGGGATTTTCAGTAGTAGGTAGGCCTGATAGCTCGAAGTGATCACTGTAGTTAGTAGGTAGGAGCTAGGAGACCTAAATATGGGATCTGTGTCTGTTTTCCTCTCCTGCTTTCTTGGAAATTATAATCAGTTCTCTAGTGAAATGCCTCGGGAGTGACTTTGATTAAGGAAAATGGAACTGTAACATCCTTTAGGCTTCAAATCTAAGGGAAACTGGTGTTTTGGTCACAGCCAGCAACAGAGAAGGGATTTGGGAAGTTATGTAGGAACTAATGTAAGATTCCATAAATTCCTCTAAAGTAAGAGTTTCCAAAGCATTACACAACTAAATCTTAAGCAAGGACTGACAGCCCTAAAATGTCTGAAGGCTCAACTTAGATGCATTCTTGATACATCTTAAATGAAAGAGCCAATTCCTTTAGTCTATAGCCAACAATGTACCCCAACATAGCATGATCCAGATTTCAGAGATGGAGATTGCTGTGTTTGTTTCCATTACTGAAAAAAAGTTCTGTCAGATATTTTCTTGGTTCTTTTTTGTGTATAATTTATACAATTAATTTATACAACTAAATACCTAATGTTGATTTCTCCTATTTTTTTTTTTCAGAGAAAGAATTTGACCCTGTTCTTCAGCATTGGTTTATTGACCTCCTGGGGAACTGCACTGCTGGGTGTTCGCTTATACTGGATGGGCAACAAGCCCCCTAGTTTTTCTAATTCTGACAATCCAGCAGCTGATTCAGACAGTTTTCTCACACGTACTCTAACCTTCTTTTACTTGCCAACCAAGAACCTCTGGCTGCTGCTGTGCCCAGACACCCTCAGCTTTGACTGGTCTATGGATGCTGTGCCTCTTTTAAAAGCCGTCAGTGACTGGAGGAATCTACACACTGTGGCCTTCTATGCAGGACTCCTCCTGCTTGCCTACTTTAGCTTGAAGGGCTCCAGCAATGAGAGAGAATGCAATGGGAAAACTGTAATGAATGGCAAGCAAAATGCTAATGGGCATAGCTGCCACCCAGAGATGGAGTACAAGACACTGGAGGCGAAGTCAAGCTTTGCATCAAAAGAAGAGAATGGCCTAAAAAAGCATGAAATTCAGAAACTGCAGCTTCCTTCAACCGAGAACATTGTCATTCTGTCTCTCTCTTTGTTAATAGTGCCCTTCGTTCCTGCCACAAACCTGTTTTTCTATGTTGGCTTTGTAATAGCAGAGCGTGTGCTGTATGTTCCTAGTATGGGCTTCTGCCTGCTGGTTACAGTAGGTGTCAGGGCCCTTTATGTCAAAGCCCAAAAGCGCTTTCTGAAGAACTTGGTTTTTTGTTCCACTGCTGCATTAATTGTTTTCTATGGACTCAAGACTGTTGTCAGGAATGGGGACTGGCAGAATGAGGAGATGCTGTATAGGTCAGGGATAAAAGTAAACCCTGCTAAAGGTAATTTTTGCTCTTTATGGTGAATGCTTTGCTTATTCGTGTCTGTCTTTGCCTTTGAATTGTCTGATTTTACTAGCTACATCTAAAGAGGACACTTTAAGAAATGTCATTTCAAGTTGCAGTGGTATGTGCATTACTAAAAAATGGGGAAAAGAAAGAATGTGTTTTGATTAGGTGTTGCAGGTTTGGCATTAACATGAAGAAAAGGTAAGGGGATACTTTCTTTTTCAGTGGTATTAGTTCTGTATTTTGAAATTATAGATGCATTATTAGTATTATAGAGCCCACCCTGGTGTTTTTCCATTTGGAATCTGGTATATAGCATGCTAGTGAAGATTTTTTTGTGAGTTTACAAAATGTTCTGTTTTCTATAATTAGAAAATACAAGAAATAGTAAAGGACAGCATCAGGGAAGTGCTGTTCCTTTTTTTCATCTGATGCAAGTAACGTCAGTACTACATAATAAAAATGAGGAAATTAGGTCATATAATTCAGCCCTAGGAAATGACTGTAGTTCCCCCTGCCTACGAGTACTGTAAAGAGTTATTGTCGAGTACTTATGCCTTCCTGTTCATGTGTAAATATCAGCTATTTGTAACAGTGCCCAGCCATGTCTCAAAGGTTATATCTATGCTGTAATGAGATGTGACCACAGCTAGTGTAAACATATCCAAAGAGGCAGTAAACCTGCCAATTTAGGTATCAGTAAGAATGTTTAGCTGTGGCTATGTGGTTTCAAGCATGTATGGCAGATCCAGCTTGGATCCTGAACTCCATGCTGCCTGGCTGTACTGCTCTTGGCACATGTGCAAGTTTATATGAGAATGGTCAAAATATCACCTGTGAGTGCAATGTAGACATTGACTAAGCCTTCCTTATTCACAGTTCATCAGAACTGAGAAGGGATCAGTTGATTGCTTTGCCTGTCTGTGAAAGAAAAATTTGACAGCACTTAAATACTAGAGTTTTCTCAGTCCTCTGCTCAGAAATCCATTATATGATGCAAAGTCATCTGCTGATAGAGTTGTGCTTTTTGGTTAGACAGTTATATCATGCCATAGCCTAAAAAACTGTGGTAAGAAGAGGCAAAGGCAGGTAGTTACTGTGAGCTGATAGGGAGTGAAAAAGTAGATTTGGCAGAAAAAATGCTTAGCAAAGCAGCATTTTAGTAGTTTGTCAGTCTGATTTTATAAGTCTTTATATACTTTCTCAACCTAGGAAAATTACTAAACTTACTGCTGTAGTGAGTTTTTTAAATTGTGAAACCAGCACATCCCATTTGGTTTACATTTTTTTTTCAAAACTAGTGCAGGAGAGCAAGAAATGAAGTAACTGAACAGTAAGCCAGCACACTAGAGTGATTATATGAAGCTCTGAGACTTACAAGCTTAGTCACAATATAAAACTTGTATTAAAACACTGGAATTCCTTGGAAAGAAAAGTGTATAAGCACTTGTTAGTTAATGCATGTTCCATTTTTTGTACTTGGTGGAGATCCCCAGTCATTAATAGTTGTCTGCTTGCAATGAGCCAAATTTTGTGATCAAAAAAAAAAAAAGTGCTAGTTTTTGCCCAATAGTAGGATTGGCTGCAGCATTGTCTGGAAATTAGACTACTGGGTATTATACTCCCAGGAGACAAGATGAGCTGTTTTCATCATACACATCTCAGACTCATGTGTATATGATTGTCTGGATTCTTGCTGTATAAGCTGACATTAAGTGTCTTGTAAGATGTGTAAAAGCAAAGACAGTATGTCAATGTGACGATATAGACATGACTGAGCTGACTTAAATAAATCTGCTTAAAATATCCTGTTAAACTTCTGCTGAATATTTACTAGCCCACACACATTGAAACAAGGCTGGGTATAAGAAACCCCTAGCTAATGTGACTTGTCACCCAACTCTATTCATTATTGTGAATATTTCTAAGATTATCCCTGGCTTTGACTATGCTAATTTTATTTTATATTTCTTATATAGTCAGGCAACCCTGACTGGACTAGACTGGATGCCAATCCTGCCAAAGCATTAGGAGATCAACTATTCAAACTACTCTTCAGTAATTAAATGAGGTTGACATAGGAAAAACAATTTATTTTTGTTTGCCTCTTTTTTTCCTAGTTTTATGAATGCCAGTGATAAATAGGCTATTCAGAGAGTGGGACAATGGGCTACTCAGTGAAATGTAGAGTGGACTAAGTGTTTTCCTTATTTTTAGGCTACTAAGGAGAGGCTGTCACTCCTCATTTCTCTTCTTTCCTCAACTCATAGCAAGTTTCTCCTCAAGAGTATTTTCTTACTTCGAAAATTGTGGAGTGGCAGGATCATTTTCCCTGATAGTTCTGCTTTTTCTCTCATCTCCTGCAAAGAGCTGCTTCTGAACAAGAGCTGCTTTTGTTGTAGTCTAAAAAGCAACGAGGTATCCCTTGAAAAACTCACAGTGTGGAGACCGATAAAGAAATAGAAATCTGTGAAGGCGAGCTTTACTAAAGCAAAAAGATGAGTGTTTTGTTCAGGATCCATCTGTATTCTGGGCTGGCAGGATGAATGCCACTGATGGCTAAATGCTGTGCACCACTGAGCTGATGTGCTGTAGTCATCAGGGCATTTTCAAGGCAAACTTTTAGCATGGGTGCATTTGTGTACTCGTGTGGCTGAACTGCTTTGGAAATGGAGTTGTCTCATTCGGTGATGGTTTATTATCAGGTCCTCTGTGTTGTGATGTGTAAGATTAAAATCTCGTCTGCTGCTGTGAGACTTTCAGGCAAACATATTCAGCAGCTTCTCCATCTTCAATCCTCAGTGAAGAAATGGGTTATAATCACCTCACTGGTTCTTTCTTCTGGTCCCTTCAGGGGTGCCTTGCAGGCAGTGCAGACAGAGTAGTGTAATGCTGCAGGTGAGAAAGCCTCTACTCCTGCAGGCAGCCACAGCCTTTCTGCAGTTTGCATTTCTCCAGGCTGTTTCTGTCAATCACTGACAATGTGGAAAAAATACTTAAAAGTGTGGGGCATGGATTATCTCTTAAAAAATCTGTTAGAGATTGAAGTGAAGGTGGTGAAGCTGCCTCCAAACTGCCCTGTATGTGCCAGCTTTCCTGGCTGCCTCACTGTATGGCAGGCAGCTGCCATCTCTTGGCTGAGGGAGTCTTGATGAGGACTTGGGATGCCTTAGCTGCATATTTACTGGTCTTGTTCTGCTGTTTTGATTATGAATAATACGTCAAATACCTTTTAAGTGGTCCAAGCAGTACCTTGTTACAGTCTGTCAGCACTTGAGGGAGAAATAGCAAGACTGACTAATTTAGTTTACGGATTCTGAAGTGGCTGTATGCATGTTTTGACCGTAGGGAGGGAAAGACACGAGTGCTTCTCTGTTCTGACTTCAACTTAATGAGCAGCCCAACTGATATAAAACCATTCTCATTATCTGAATGTTCTTGTAAAGCAAAGGAAGCCTCCCAAAACGTAAAAACAAACAAAAGAAGTTAAAAGTGGGTGGTAGCTGTCACGTCTTTTTTGGTTAGACTGAGGGTCATTCTGTGGTGATGATTACCTTGTGTTTAATATAAAATAGTAATGACACACGAAATAATTGTGCTTATTACGCCTCATTAACTCTAGTTTTCCCTGCGGTACCGAAAATAAGCTTCAAAAAGTATGATCTTCCTCTGGGTCATTTCATACCTTGCAGTGCTCACTTGAACATCAAAGATCATTATGATATATTTCCCATACCTGGTACAGACATTGATTAAAGAAGCAGAAAACAGAGAGGCTTAAACTGCTAGACTGCCCAGAGGTATTAGGTTCTTGATCATAGTTACTGATGAAATTTTAGTCTTCTGGTACCATTGCATTTGTAAGTATGCTTTGAGGATCCTTCCAGGAAATAGTTGACAAACTATTTCTGCTGCACAAAGTGGATCCTTAACTAAAAATTCATCTAACAGTTCAGTGAGGAAATACAGTTACTACGCCTTGTACTAAGCTAGGTAGAGAAGCCATATTTACCACAAACAAAAAAGATGCAATAAAACATTTTTTCCATTATTTTTATTTTTTTGGTATCACTACTGATGACTGGAAACCAAAGGAGATTAAATACCTTAAGGTACAGAATTCTTCAAATATTTAATTATTAAAAGCTTGCATTATGCTGACAAGATCTCCTCTAGTACCCTTAGAGCTTTCAATAGCTTCTGCTCTGACACACAGCTTGATGTTCACTCTGCATTTTTGTTATATCCCCTAAATAGAGTGGTGTGTGTCCTAGTAAATACCACATAGGGCATTTAAAAATAGTTTGAGCATTTGGGACTGCATTTCAGGGTTTTGGTATGTATATTCAGGTTTTTTATATGTAGCTTGTCAGTAAAACTCCAAAACTCATGTTTGGCCCAACAGCCCAAAATACTACTCCGTACAGTAGTTTTTTCTTTTTCATTTGGCTCATTTAATGTCGATAATAATAAAATTAATGATGTGATTAATATAACATTGCACTGAATAGAAAATATGGATTTGGGGAAAAAAGGCTTGGGAGAGAAAGTGATTTTAGTGCACAGATTACCATATAAAACATCAGATTTTAAACATATAAAACCTGCTTATAAATACACTTGAAAGTTTTGCATATTATCACTGTTAAGAAATACCAGTGATAGGAGCATACCATCTGGAGTTAGGCATTCATGAGTTAGTTTTAATTTTGCTAATGAACTCTTCTTTGGTCTGTGAACAAACCACTTTAATCTCGATTTTTCTCTCTGGAATGGAACTCATATTACCTATTACCATATTAGTTTTTTTATTTTTTTTGATGATTCATGGTAGTTTTAAAACCTCCCTGTATTTATAGCAATATAATATCCCTTCTAAGCCACTTGATAAATATATGTCAGAATATATAGTCATTATGGTGATTCTTGACGTGCTTTTCACTTAATATTTTTAGAAATTGTCAGAGAAACATAATAACAAGTAATCATCCATT